GCATGTATTACTATCTATGTGTGCCTGGGCTACCAGATGGACCGGCTTAATGCTAGTGGCCTATGACTATGTGAGCCTTGGCTACCACGCCGACCGACTTACCAATAGTGGGCTATGGCTATGTGAGCCTTGGCTACCACACCGACCGGCTTAACAATAGTGAGCTATGACTATGTGAGCCTGGGCTACCATGCCGACTGGCTTAACTCTAATTAGACGCGCACTGTGTGTAATGTTTAATTAACTAAATGGATATACGTTGCAATCCGATAGATAAGACCCCAGCACCCACCTGAGCAAATATCATAATTTAGTCATTTGATAACTGCTGTTACTTTCTCCACTTCATCAGTCCCAGCGGCAGCGTAACAGCTTGTTAATTCATGTTCATGCAATGATGAGATGGACAAAGTTAGCCGATGCATGCCATTTTACTCTCTCGTGCAGATAAAAGTTGTCAAAGTTACAGTGCACAAAAACCCCTGGGTGGACTGACCTGAATGAACTGAAATAAAAGCAGAATATAAAATGTTCTTTCTCCGTTTTCTGAATTACACAGCACAGCGAGAGCACATTTCTCCTTACTACACCACCCATAATGCATTTCACTCTGAACTAACGGTTACAGTAGATAGTGATCTTCAGCATCTCCCTCAACACTGTCATTGATATGACTGCGATAAGCGCGTGCTTCTGATGCTGCGTGCAGCTGAAATCAACCACACACTCAATACAATGAAAACATCGACCTTAGAAAAAACAAACGTGAACACTGGGATAATTGCCGATGTATATGGCGAACCCCTGTTGAATGCATACACAAGAATGCTTAATTTAACCTGTTTCATGTCCCTTACTATCGGCATGTCCTCAGAGCGATTACATATGCTCTAAACTGCGTTTTGCTCCAGCTGTATAAACACAGATGCTAAATGCTGCTGCTAAAATGCTTAATATTCACTCCTGCATACAATGCAAACTGCTAACATGACACAGTTTAAACTTGATTATGGTTGCTAATTTTTTAATTCAATTAGGCAGACTGCGCAATACACACAGCGATATGGATTAGAAGAGCATTCACTTATCTTAGATGTTGATTTTGCTGTTCCGAAGCAAGCTACAACTGCTACGGCAGCACTAGTCATATATTTGAATGTTGAGCAGCGAGCTCATTGGCTACCATTACGGGAGAGAACCAATCAGCTGTGCCATGTGATAATGATGTCATTATGTCAGATTGAGTTAGACCTATCAGACTGCGCCATCTAGAGTTTCATGCCAGAACTCTGTATGTAGCCTACACCCATGAAACTTTTATGCTTAAAGCATTGATTGAATTATGATTAGTTGCTTTTTTTTTCTTTTTCCTGATACAATGAAAATTAATATTACTTCAATAATTTACTGTTCTGCCACTTTTTAGCTTTGATATTATAACAGTGATGAAGAATTAAAGTTACGTATTGACTCGGAAGTATGCAGACGTCTTTTTGTTGGGAGCTGTTGCCATGGTGAATCATAATTTCGGAGCTCCATTGATCATGGCTTTTCATAGTCGTGGTGCACGCGCTAAACTCAGAGTCAACCTACTCAGAGTCGATTGAACTAACTCAATTCAGCTGTTCTGAACCCGAAAACTCAAGAGTTTCCCATCTCAGGGTAAGTCAACTCAGAATTCAAGTTTCAACTCAGAGTTGGTTGAACCTCCTTATTGAAATGGGCCCCAGATACTATTTTGAAAAAGAATTTGGTTACGGTTACTACAAGAAAAACTGATCATGGATCATTAAAACAAAATGACAAACACCAGGAGAATCGCTGGTTGTAAAAACAAAGACATCTGCACAGCTGAATGTGGTTTGAGAAACCAAAGCACAACCAAAACAATGTTCTTCCACAAGATGCATGGCATTTTAAGGCAAAGTTATGTAATGTAGCTTTAGATGTACTTCAGAGCTTACAGTATTTCTCTGGCTCAAAAACAATGCAGAATTTTGAATGAATGAATCCTTATGGACAGAACCATTTATATTTTGTTATAAGACAGTCACCAGAGATGTCAGACATTGCATGCTGTAAAAATCATTTTCTTAGTGTTTTGTCTTGATTTTCAGTAAAAACATGCTGACATCAAGCTACATTTACTTGACATAATGGCATGATTAGAAGTCTTTTTTTTCCAAAGGACAATTCTGACTTATTCAGAATTGTGAGATATAAAGTCAGTATCGCAAGATATAAAGTCAGAATTGCGGGATAAAATCTCTGAATAAAAAGTCTGAATTGTAAGATAAAATGTTACAATTACCTTTTTCAATTCAACGGTAGAGAGGGGAAAAAATGCAAATGCAGAGTGTTAATAAAAATAACAATTGGTCCCTCTGTAAATTCTCTTTGCCACCGTGAAATCTTCTCAGTCTCCCAAAGTGTAAATAGACGGCCGGGAAGTAAGAAAACACACAGTCAAATGTATCCTCAATACTTCAATTTATTCATAGAAATACAGATATTATATAGGCATATGTCGAGGGGAGTTTCACCCTCTTAACCAATGAGGATATGAATAACATACACATATAAGATCTTTGGCCAAGAACATGTGTTTATATAAAATGGCCACATGTACAGAAAAACATGGACATATTAGGAATAGTCTTTTGCGAAGAATGCTGAACTGTCTTCAGAGTTTCTCTCGAACTCCTTTACCCTTGTAGTCCTAACATTCATGTCCTTATTGGGGCAATTAAACCAAGAAAACTAATGTATACATTTAAGCATGCATACCTCGCATATGAGTAAGAGATATTTAAGACTTAATACAAGAGAGAGAAATGGATACAGGAGGGGGAATAAGAGAGAGGGGAAAAAAGGAGGGGTGAGGCATATCTGGAACATTCTAACAGTTGCCTGCTGGATGTAAAGAGAGCCATATAGAAAATGTTTGGGTTTAATGTTTAAAGAAGGATGTTGAAGAATGTTGTGAAATATTATTACAATTTAAAATCTACAATTTAAATTTTCTATTTGAATATATTTTAAAATGTAATTTATTCCTGTGATGCAATGCTGAATTTTCTTCAGTGTCACATGATCCTTCAGAAATCACTTTAATATGCTGATTTGCTGCTCATGAAATATTACTGGTTATTAACAATGTTGAAAGCAACTGTGCTGTTTAATTTAGTGGAAACCATGATGAGTTTTTTTTCTGATTATTTGAAATAGAAGTCTTTAGTAACACAATAAATAGCTTTACTCTCACTTTGGATCAATTTAATACATCCATGCTTATATCGCAAAATAGCTCAGAAAAGTGAATTTAGTTCTGGGAAAAGCTCTAGAATCTTTTGTTTGCTGATGCCACTTGTTTTTATGTTTTGTTACCAATTGCATTGAAATTCAGACATTTTTGTGTGACTCTAGTGCCTAAAAATGTTTATAGTATAGGCTACATATATTTAGCATTTTTCAAAATTCTAAATATTCCTTCATTACAATAAAAGTCACCACATCAACTTGCACAGGGCATAAACAGTTTCCTTTTCTGTAATCAATACTAGAGACAATAGTTAAAGGGATCATATGCACAAAACATTATTACATTACAGGATTTTTAAAAAAAGCTTATTTGTGGTAATTACCATTTGAACATCTGAAGGCACTCTGGAGAGGAAATCCATCACCTCACTGTTTTCAATGGCATATGGATCGCGCAGTTTCTTTGTAAATTTATGTATACCTAAAAAAAGAGCATAATTATGACCAATCTTTACTGATAATCCAGAACTTCAAGGAACTTCAATATTTGTCATAAATGTGCTTCATTTGTTCAATGGTTTTACTGATTTAAAAAGAGATTTCTCACACATTTCTCATTGTTTGAGAGTAACACAGCTGTTATCTTACCCCATAATAAAATAATGTAGCGTACTGGAATAAAGTAAGTGATCACTGTAGCCATGATGAGAACCAGGAAGGCCAGATTAGACAAGAACGACACTGACCAGTTGAATGTACTGGGGAGAAAAAAAGATAAATGTTGTATATGGTGTATCAATGCTAACGTGCATGCATTCTTTTGAATATTTGTACTTTCTGAATGCTAGTTTACTGACTAGCAACAGATATATCAGGAAGTGGCTAATATTTGACTCTTCTGATTATTGCTGTTGCACACAATAGTTGTGTGCTTTAACTGTTTAACAGAAGTTCAGTTTCAAAATATACAGACAATGGATAACGTACAATTTCAGTCGTTACAAATCATTCAACATTGAGTAAATACTGTAAAAAAGCTTCTTGTTGCTTTGATTAAATCTTACTAACTTATACATATATATATATATATACACACACACACTATCATTCAAAAGTTTACCATTTCATATTCAAACCAGACAATCGCTTGCTTTTTTATGATTATAACTAAACCAATTTAAGGGTTAAAATCAATGAAACACTTCTGCATTGTGTCCCATTCCAAACTAAACCCCGGCTCTAAAATTCCAAACAGCCAAGACGCCATACGAACCTGTAAGGAGCGCAGGATCCGCTTCAGCCCCTCGTAGTCTTTATCTGTGAGTGGAGTCAAGACCGTCATGGCATCCTCTGTAGACTGGCACTGCGGGCACACATACTCGTCGATATGTGTGGCTTCGCTCTGTAGGATGCCCACGCAGCGCCCGTGGTACCAGTTCTGACAGCGATCGCAACCGATGTAGAACCTGAAGAAGCAGCAGGCACGAACATATCAGAAAACATGCTTCTACATGCAGCTTTTGAAACAGATGTGATGAAACTGCAGGTATGTGGTTACTGGGACTCGTCGTATGGAGTTCTGCAGATGCAGTAGAGCTCCTCTGTGCTTCCCTCCTGAGCTCGTTTACATTCTGAACAGATGTAGTCGTCCATCTTCTTGGCCTCTTTCTCGGTGATGCCCACACACTCTCCATGATACCAGTTAGAGCAGAGGTCACAACCAATGTAGAACCTGCATCAACAGCGTACCAACATTAGATTCATCTCACATCCAACTGATTTTCATATATATCATGTCTTTCATGAAAAACCATATTCGTATTTTTACAGCTTCAGTAGCATGATTTACATTTAAATGTATGCATTCTGCCAAATGCTCAACTGTTTGAGCTTCAGAAGCAAATTACACCGAAGTGTACTGGTTTACCAAAATTGTGAATTTAAAGTGAATTATCTTGTGAAGTATGCAAGAATTATGATGTTTAACAGTTTTTCACTGTGTTCGAACAAGTCTTGTACCAACTGGAAATTATTTTCAAAATTAAAAAAAAAAACGGAAAAAATATTTCTAGCACAATTTTTTTCCTAATCCAAACACAAAAGTATAAAATATCCACAAAAAATTCACACCAGACTTAATCTGAAAAAGTTGGGATGCAAAAAATAGTTTTACATTACATTGAGTTTTTCGGCAAAAATAGGTATATTGTATCCTTTTTAAAATCTTAGTTTATGTGCATGTTTTAATGCCAAAACACTCAGAATATTAAAATATAATAACATGTTTAAATTAAATTTTGTGTCTCTCTCTATTTTCGTCTCGGTGAACGTTTATATTTTTTAAGCCAAAATACTTACTATTATTATTAAATTATTAAAGAAAATAATAAGTAATAACTAAATCTAAATGCAAACAGATAAAAAAAAAAAAACACCTGATCAAATAGGTATATTTAAAATCTTAATGTATGTTTATATTTATATTTTTAATTTAGTGTAATTAAAGAAAAAATATATATATTAGCACCTAACAGATAAAATTATTAGCACCTAACAGATAAAAAACAACAACTGACAAACAGATATATTGTCTCCTTTTAAAATCTTATTATACGTTTATATTTTCAAGCCAAAAATGTTAACTTCTAGTGTAAATATTCAAAATGAAGTGATAAACACAAAACAGAGAAAAGGAATTCCTAACAGAAAAAATAAAAGAAGAAAAAAAATAAAAATAAAATAAAATTGCAGGACAGTAAAGTTGTCATACTTGGACTCATCGTAGGGCGTCTTGCAGATGCAGTATAGCTTGATGTCCCTCTTGCTGTCCTTTGAGGTAGTGGAGATCATCTTTTTGCGTTTGTACTTGGAGGCGTCTCTCTCCTCATCCCGCTTGCGTTTGTGTGAGGAGGAGGGGGACGTGACCGTGGCTGTGTGCGAGGAGACGTGTGCACTGGCGGCCGCAGCAGCTTGTGCAGCTGCAGCCGCAGCCGCAACCTGAGCTTTCTCCTTCTCCCGCCGCAGTTTAATGAGATCGCGCTTCAGCTCCTCCTGCAATGAAAGACAACATGACAATGACTCGACATGCGCAATGTAGCTTCAGCTGTCTCTTTGGCAAGTCTGATGTGGTGTTAATAGAGTGTGTGTGAGTAAAGCCGAGATGTGGGCGTGCAATGAAAGCATTCGTCTCTATTGCCAAATTCCCATAGATCGTCATAAACGAGGAAAAATGGTCATTAATTAGTGTATGCGAACACACTACCTGACAAAATTTGCAGTCAAAAGATTTTTTTCATGTTTTCAAAGGAAGTCTATCATACTCACCTGGTAATAACAGTATTATTCTGAAATATTATATCAATTTAAAATAACATGCTTTAAAATGTAATTTATTCCTGTGATGCAATGCTGAATTTTCTTCAGTGTCACATGATCCTTCAGAAATCACTTTAATATGCTGATTTGCTGCTCATGAAATATTACTGATTATTAACAATGTTGAAAGCAACTGTGCTGTTTAATTTAGTGGAAACCATGATGAGTTTTTTTTCTGATTATTTGAAATAGAAGTCTTTAGTAACACAATAAATAGCTTTACTCTCACTTTGGATCAATTTAATACATCCATGCTTATATCGCAAAATAGCTCAGAAAAGTGAATTTAGTTCTGGGAAAAGCTCTAGAATCTTTTGTTTGCTGATGCCACTTGTTTTTATGTTTTGTTACCAATTGCATTGAAATTCAGACATTTTTGTGTGACTCTAGTGCCTAAAAATGTTTATAGTATAGGCTACATATATTTAGCATTTTTCAAAATTCTAAATATTCCTTCATTACAATAAAAGTCACCACATCAACTTGCACAGGGCATAAACACAGTTTCCTTTTCTGTAATCAATACTAGAGACAATAGTTAAAGGGATCATATGCACAAAACATTATTACATTACAGGATAAAAAAAAAAGAAGCTTATTTGTAGTAATTACCATTTGAACATCTGAAGGCACTCTGGAGAGGAAATCCATCACCTCACTGTTTTCAATGGCATATGGATTGCGCAGTTTCTTTGTAAATTTATGTATACCTAAAAAAAGAGCATAACTATGACCAATCTTTACTGATAACCCAGAACTTCAAGGAACTTCAATATTTGTCATAAATGTGCTTCATTTGTTCAATGGTTTTACTGATTTAAAAAGAGATTTCTCACACATTTCTCATTGTTTGAGAGTAACACAGCTGTTATCTTACCCCATAATAAAATAATGTAGCGTACTGGAATAAAGTAAGTGATCACTGTAGCCATGATGAGAACCAGGAAGGCCAGATTAGACAAGAACGGCACTGACCAGTTGAATGTACTGGGGAGAAAAAAAGAAAAATGTTGTATATGGTGTATCAATGCTAATGTGCATGCATTCTTTTGAATATTTGTACTTTCTGAATGCTAGTTTACTGACTAGCAACAGATATATCAGGAAGTGGCTAATATTTGACTCTTCTGATTATTGTTGTTGCACACAACAGTTGTGTGCTTTAACTGTTTAACAGAAGTTCAGTTTCAAAATATACAAACAATGGATAACGTACAATTTCAGTCGTTACAAATCATTCAACATTGAGTAAATACTGTAAAAAAGCTTCTTGTTGCTTTGATTAAATCTTACTAACTTATACATATATATATATATATACACACACACACTATCATTCAAAAGTTTACCATTTCATAATACTGCTGTTTTTTAATTTAAATAAATTATTTATTAAATAAATTAAATAAACAGTCTTGGGGAACATATCAGACTTCTTTCAGAAACATTCAAAAATCTTACCAACTCCAAACATTTGAACAGTTGTGTATATATTATGCAATTAATAATTTTCTCTTAATATCCATTACAAATTTAGTGTGACGGAAATGTTACGCCCCTCACCATACTGTGATGCCCTGTCCGGCCGGAGCGACGAGACAAAAACATTAAAACCCATTATAAACGAGGCATTTGTTGCATCCGGTGGGGACATAATTATGGATTAAAATGACTTATACTGTCTTTTAACGCGTTGCGTTGCATCGCGGCGCGTAAACATAAAACCATGTCTGCATTTGTGATCGGAGAAACGACAAACAACAAGCCCTAGTCTACACTGCTCAAAACTCGTCAGTGGCAAATTCTTTAAATATGAAAACGTATTTACAGGCTGTGCGTCAGAAGCACCAGACTGTCCTTGCAAAGTTGGAATTGCTCCACTTTATAGAAACAGACACCGGCATTGTAGGCTACTCTCCCAGGATCAGGAAACAGTCCTCGTCCTCCATAAAATGCGCTGCACACATCTGAATATTTGGGTTGAACTGTTCTGGAATAGTGTTGTAAATACAACTTTACCACTGATTTATAGAAGGCCAAACAAATTAGTTTCGCTTTCATAACGAAACAGCGTCTCCACGACATGGCGGCGGCGGCAACAATACTACAGCGAGAATCAAAGTTACGCTTTCTTTCTTTGCGTGAACATTTGGGCGGCGTTATGCAAATCTTCCCACATCGTGACGTAGACATGTGGGGGCGTGTTAGAACGAGCCACTCTAGGAGGGCGTGGTTGACTCTTAACTTTTATAAAGAATATCTCTTTGGATTTGAGACTTTAGTCTTTGCAACTTTACAGATCTTCTTTATGCACCAAGAGCTTGCAACACTCCAAAGAGAAAGGAAAATTTGAAATCGCATCATATGACCCCTTTAAAGGATATTAACCAACAACAGAAAATGGGATGCATGGGAATGCTAACGGATAACTTTCTCCAGGTATTTTAGACCTCCTTGGTTTAAACTAAGGTTATCATCAGAGGTCATTTTATATAGTTAAAGAGAGAGTTCACTCAAAAATGAAAATTCTGTCATATATGGACAAAAATACAGTGAAAGTCAATGGGAACCAAAACTGTTTGGTTTTCGACATCTTTCAAAATATCTTCTTTCATATGCATCAGAAGAAAGAAAGTCATACAGGTTTGGAATGACATGAGGGTAAATAAATGATGAAAGAGTTTTAATTGTTGGTGGACTATTCCTTTAATTCACAGGAGTAACTTCTTTATATATTATCTGCAGTTGCAGTAAGAAATACCTCAATACACATAGGATGCCTTAGAGAGAGTTTTTTTGTGTGTGTCTGCCATGTGACTGTGCCCTCCGGTGTCCTGAGAGGCTGCAAGAATGCAGACGTCTCCCCTGCTGTATGCCTTAATGCCTAGGGGGCACAGGGACACCGGGGCCCCTGGCAGCTGGAGCTGAGAGAGACTCAGATGGGGCCCATCTAAGCAGTCACTCTGGGACAAGAGACAGAGGAGAATCCAGAGAGAGGAGATGAGGGTAAAACACCTTGAGAGGAAACTGGCAGAGAGGAAAAGTCAGAGTATTCCCCAGACACACAGACAAACTTATTTAAAGACAGATGCATTCATGATAGAAATATATGGATGTGCAGTGTATACATGATGTAGATGTATAGAGTGGCCCATATAAAGCAGTGGAGATGGAAAAAAAGTAAAATAAATATATCAAACAAGATGCAGAAAGACTCACCACTTTGTTGTCCTTGTCATTTTCACTTACTTTCAGGCCAAACAAAATGAAACAAAACAAAAAGTGGGAAGACTGGGGTTGTTGAACTTTTGTATGGGGTTGTACTTTATTAGTTTTGTCATTTTATAAGTTATTTAGTACAAGTTAAATGAAACAAAAATTTAAAATGTTGCTTTGGCAACTAGTTAAAATAAAAGATGTTTTTAAAATATTATTTCACTTATTTTTAATATCTTTTATTTGAATCTTTTAGTAACCTATAATAACCCTGCTGTGACCGATTATCGTCATCCAGATTATATTGCACAATGCATCTTACTTGGTCATTTTTGGACATGATAGCCCCCTATCCACATTCAGGCGAATTATACCTTTAAAACATACGCATGGCATTTTAACATGTTTACATTTGTTAACATGTGAGAGATTTGATCAGAAGGTCTTCAGGGAGGAACTGATTTGAGCCCCTTTAGGTCTCTGAGGGAAAGGAAAGAGAAAGACACAAGAGAAATAAGATCCCCAAGGCTGAACGTATTTGTTGTAAAGTCCTAAAGGAATCTGGGTTATCTCCTGGGATGAGCCTATCAACTTAACCTCATTTATAAACACAGGCACAGATGTTCGTTGTACAGTCACATCTACTGGAGAACTGATGGTGGAAATGCAGACACCATTAAATCAATATGAATTAAAATGTAATTCAGTGAATTTGCAGCAAAATGCATACAGAAAATAAATGAGAATGGAACTTAAAAACTGATTTATAAATGGAAAAAATAACATTTTAACATTTAACATTTTTAGCATTGAGTAGCAGTTCCATTTAAATATTTACATCATGAGGGCTTTATGATAGCATAATTTCCCATTTTCTTCCTAAAAGATCAGGATTTATGATAAGAAATGACAAAACTATATCAGTTCTTAATTTATTAACCACTAGAGGGAGGAAAAAGACTTCATTCAATGACACAAAAACAGTAGCCTATGGAAACACATATTTCCTTTTATCTATAAAAAGCAAGAAACTCTTTAAGACAAAAGTCTTTTGAATTCCAACTATCTTTAGGCTAAATACACATTTATGTAAACTCTGCTAGGCATATTGAAGAGGAAAAAAACACATGAAAACAGGTAATTTCAGCTCAGGGTTCAGAACCTGAGACACATAAAATACGCTGGAAAAGGGGAGGAAATTGCAATTGTAAACTGTATTTACTCAACGTGCAGGCAGTGGGTCAGGAGGCCCGGAAATCCTTACATTAACTGGCTTACTAACTTTGACAAATGTTTTTTCTTCACCAAATTATGTGATTGGCTTCTGCAGGGCATCTTATTGGATACGGTTGTTCTGCAGACATGCACTATAAGAGATCTGATATTACAGTATCTCCAATAAGAATCCACTAGAGTCATGTCACTGGAGGTAAACACATGGAGCTGTAGTTTTGCCTTAAGTATTAGATGCCAGGTTGAATTCACTTCACTCATTTGCAGGAAATAATGCACCAAAAGAAGCAGACCAAATAGTTATAAAAATCCTAAAATTAAGACTCAAACCACTGGCGTGCGGTTCATGAGATGCCATTTTCCAATAGGGTTGACAGGAGAATCTATGGTTCACCATATCAAAAGCAGCGGACAGATCCAACAAATTATAATATAATATATATATATATATATATATTTTTTTAAAGAAGTCATTCATTTGATCAAAAATACAGTAAAAACAGTCATATTGTGAAATCTTATTACAATTTTAAAAGTGTTTAATCTATTGTCTTTACTGTGACTTGGAACAATTTAATGCATCATTGCTGAATAAAAGTATTAATTTCTTAATACATTAAAACACTTCATACACATCAAATATAATCCATATGGTAAAATATGATTTCTAGGTTCATCAAACAACAGAACCCCAGAGTTATAATTACTGTCTGAATAGGGCTGAATTTTATCAGACATGAGCAGAACAGATCACATGTGTAAATGAAAAAAGAGAGACAAAAATAATGCATCAGAGGCAGCTGTGTTTAGAACATGTAGAGTTTGTCAAAACATAAAGGACTCATTATTGGCCAGCAATGGGAAATCTGTGATCATCTACAACATAATTGCATGTTTAGAGTACTGTACTGTAGAGTAACTGTATTTCAACACTTACTTGTAGTTCTTTCTGTAGTAAAAGCATTGTATTATCTATCAAAGAATGAAATTCAATTCAAATTCTAAACGAATAGTAATCCTTGTTCCAATAAATAGACACCAGACAAAAATAGGCACAGCTTGTATAAGTACAGGCGTCATCGTATGATTGCTTTAAAAAAAAAAAAAAAATTTTTTTTTAATTGAGTTAAAAGGCTCCGCTTCAGCTGAAGAAATCTGTAGCAGTTCATTCCACCAGGACAGAGGATTTCCTTGACCACCCACAAAAAGCACAGAGTGAAGGAGAAAATCCTTTTTTTAAGTGTGTATTAGGGACAGCCATCAGTCAGTGATTCCTCGATGTCCAGTCTGTGAGGTAGAGCTGCAATACATCAGTCAGTTTGTCAGTCACTGGCATGGCTTCTGATGGAACGGATGCCATGGAGGTTGAGTCCAGGATACCTGCGTTCTCAGGTAGAGATCCTCACCCTCACTTGGGCTCATAGCTCATCGTGGCTCCTGGTAAGGTCTTCACCATAGTTGGTGGCCTGGCTGCCCACAAACATGTTCCAGTTCTCAAGAATCTCTTCTTTGGTCAGCATCTGGTCCTAAAATTATAACATTTCATATGTATGTTTGACTGGTTATATTCCTCATTTGTAAGATGCTTTGGGAAAAAAGCGCCAGCTAAATTCATAAATGTAATGTGTGTTCGCAATAGTGACTAATAGAGTCTTCTACTTGAATCCATGACATTGGCAACTCTGGAATTGATGATAAACATGTTTAACATGCGTGTTCCTGTGACTGAACGTCAGCCAATTTTTCACACAAAACATTAAATTGTCATAAAATTGTTGGTAAAATTAACATTTCTGGTAAAGGTATCTTTAAACAGTTGGAAATCTAGTAAGCTACATTAAAAAAAAAAAAATGATTGCAGCTGTATGTACAATGTACACCATTTTTAATAGCTAAAAATAATATCTAATCTGCCTTGGGACATAAATTTTCAGGAATTACTCTAACTAATTGTCCTAAAATTACTGATCAAGTAACTGGTTTAAAAAAAAATTCCGTGTTCCGTTTAATATTTTGTGATATTTCAGGATTCTTTGATGAACAGAAAAAAACAGCATTTATTTGAAATATATAAGTCACTCTAATGTGTGTCTGCTGAATAAAAGCTTTTAAAAAAAATCAATTGTACTGAAAAAAACTTTTTAATGTTAATGTGTATCAAATAAATTACTACATTTAAATAACTTCATACTTAAGGTATTTTTCTCCTGATTAATCTTTAGTATGCATCTCAGTAGGTTCTCACCTTGTCTGTGTCGGACTCGTACACCAGATGCCGGGCCTCTGCCTGTGCGTGGTCATAATCCTGCGGCAGGATCCAGTGACGAATCTCTTCTAAATCCATCTTCCCGTCTTTATTCAGATCTCTGAAATCTGAAAACTGGTCTCTCTCGGTTCTAACCCAGTCTGGCTCTGGGCCGCCATCTTCGTGAGCAAACATGTCCGCTGTAAAATAGCAGAAAAGACTGAAAATGTCTTCCCTTGGATACAGAACATTAAAATGATAGTTCACCCCAAAAATGTCAATTTTGTCAAGAGTTTCAGTGTCTAAAACTCACAAAAAGTTATAAGTGTTTCGTCCTTCATACAAAAATACAGATTAACCTACCAATGTATTCGTCCTCATCTACATGACCATCTCCATTCTTGTCAATGTCCTCCAGAGTTTCCTGATAGAAGAAAGTACAGTAAATGGGAAAATCAGTTACTTTATGAAATAATAGCATGATGGTTATTTCCAATAGTCTGCGTAATTAAACTGACAGTAAGTACCACTGTCTAAATTCCAAACCCCATAATCCAAGTGACACTCACAAGAACCACAATTTCCTGCATGTGCTCAAACTCTTCTGGGTGGAGGAAAGCAGTGAACTCCTCTCGCTCTGCAGCTAAATCACCATTGAGATCAGCAACTTTAAATCTGCGTTCATCTCGCGGAAGCATCTTCTTGAAGCTGAACTGGTCTGTTGCATCTTCAAACTCTTTTGGATTGGCTGGGAGAAGAGAAGATGAATCTCATGAAGGTGGCGTTTTTTGACATTTAATTAATATTAAAACTTTGAGAAAATTCAGATCAGAACGACTCACCAAGGTAGTAACCGTAAGTTGCTTGCTTATATTCATCCCATGAGATCTTGTTGTCTTTGTTCAGGTCATAGTCAGACCAAACCTTTGCAACGTTCTCATAGACGTAACGTTTCTGTACTCTCTTGATCCAGGCCTTGAGTTCATCAGTGGTAATATATCCATCAACATCGCTGTCAATACGATCAGCTATTTTCCTAGGGAATTTATAAATGGATAGAAAGAAAAAAAAAAAAAGAGAATAAAATGGAAACTTACAGAGAATACATATTAGAATGGACACCAGAGTAACATTTCTAGCTTTTCACCTCAAACATGATGGATCAAACTAATTCTAGAAGATTCAATTCAAAGCTAGAAGAACTTGACTGGTCTGCAACTCTGCATAAAGTCTAATCCCTGCTAAACACATCTGGTGTGACATTAAATGCAGACCTTGAGCTAAAAACTCATCACCAAACACCAATGACTTGTACATATGGGTACAGTCATTTTAGACACTTCCAAAACTTTTGCAACAGAGATGGAAATACAATTTTTAAATACATGAATTATGTTTCCATCTTTGTTGCCACAGTTTTGGAGGTGCTTTTTTCTGTCCCAATACTTTTGTCCATATACTGTATGTACAAGTCATTGATGTTTGGTGATGAGTTTTTGGCTCAAGGTCTGCATTTAAAATCACACCAGAGGTGTTCAGCTGGGATTAGACCAGTCAAGTTCTTCCACACCGACTAAGTCAATAAATCAATAATTTATTTTTGAACCTTGCCTTATACACCGAGTAGTAGAATAGAAAAGGGTCCTGTCCAAACTGTTGCTATAAAATTAGAAGTGCACAATTCCCTAGAATATATACACACACATACATACACACATATATATATATATATATATATATATATATATCCTATTTTTATACTGCGATATTATTTTTTTGTTTTAATAAAAATATATATTTTTATAGATGCTAAAATGTTATAGTATTGTTATTATTAATAATGACTGGTTAATTTCCAACATGTACAAGTCATTGGTGTTTGGTGATGAGTTTTTGGCTCAAGGTCTGCATTTAAAATCACACCAGAGGTGTTCAGCTGGGATTAGACCAGTCAAGTTCTTCCACACCGACTAAGTCAATAAATCAATAATTTATTTTTGAACCTTGCCTTATACACCGAGTAGTAGAATAGAAAAGGGTCCTGTCCAAACTGTTGCTATAAAATTAGAAGTGCACAATTCCCTAGAATATATATATACACACAAGCACACATACATATATATATACATATATATCCTATTTTTATACTACGATATTATTATTATTATTTTTAATCCATATTTTCTATGGATGTTTTTATTAATATTATTAATATTATTTTAATAATTTACATTATTCATTGGTATTTATTACTCAGTGATGTATCTCATTACTGTAATACTACCTTGGTAATCTCAAATGAAACACGTTATATATTAAGCACTAAAAGATATATATATATATATATATTAAAACGCAATAAAATATTTTACCTTTTTCTTTTTTTTTTACATTTTTAAAAACATTTTATTTATCTATATTTGCATTTCATGTCACAGACTTCGTTTTATTTAAGCAAAATATAACTTCTTATTTCATTATGCTTATTTTTGGTTGAACTACGACCCAGAAATGTTCTTGCCAGAAACCAGAGTGCAAGTGACTAGAAGACTGTCAACAGCACATTATTTGGATCTCTGATGCCACGTTGTGATGTTAAGAGAGACTGGAGAGGGAGTTCTGTGGGAAGAGGACGAGGTAGTTTTGAGCTGGAAACTTGTTACATTGGCAAGAAACGAGATAAACCCTGATATTCGACACATTTCTATATTTAACATGACAGTGTGGCAACCACCATGCAGGAGGGATTTTGTTGTCATGTGACATTAAAGACATAAAATAGACAAATGAAGTACCCCTGTGGAAAATGATGTAAATTCTTCCATTTCTAACAACTTCACACGTTTTATATTAGATTCTTAATCTATTTCTCCTTTGTGTCATCTTTAACAGGCTTCTCTGTCATTGATCCACATATAAAGACATGCTTCAATGCTTAAGTAGCTCTTCTGAACCAAACCCCCAGTCTTACCCTAATCTGGTTTTGCTTTCCTCTGGGGTGAGCTGATCAAATGTGGTGGCCTCCTCTTTGCCCAGAAAGGCCTCGTGGTCGTACTGATAGCTCTGGTTATCTTCGTGGGGTTGTCTGATCAGTTCAGGCTCGTGAAGAACTCTTTCTTTCCTGAGAGTGGGTTTCCCGTGCGCCAGACACGTGCAAAGCGACAAAAACCATAAATACGTCGAGACATCCATGCCTGAAGGACGCAATCCAAAGCAAAGAGAGCGTTTAAAACTGGCACAAAGTTATAAGCTCTAACTAAGTTACGTGATCGACCACCGTCAAAATCGCAGAAGCTGCGGTTGCCAAGGAGACGCGTTTCAATTGTTGTCAACTCAGAACAAAACAATCAGAGCACAAGTCAGTTCTTTTCATTTTCGATTCAAACATACCCGGCGGATCACTGAAGGCTAGGCTACAACCAAACCTAGAATGGGTGCGTGTCAAGCAACAGCAAATCATAACGCGGATAGCATGCAGGCGGAATGTTAGAAGCTCTGCTATTGGTCAAACGGTTGTCTTTAACCCGAGATGGGCGTGGACGCCACGTTGCAAGATGACACGCAGTAGCGTCTGCGTCGGAATCCCATAGTAGGAGAATTTAAAATTATAGTATTACAATTTTTTATCATAGCTAAAAAAAATGTATAGTGTTATTATTAGTGATAAGTTCATTTCCAGCATGAGACTGAACATATTTAAACAGATATTTGCATTAAACATGAAAAATGTTAACTAGATTTATTACCCACTCCCAATGCAGCTGTAAAATGTATTTCCTAAAACGTAATGTCAAATAACCATAAAAAGATAAGTCAATGCTATGAAGTTAAGCATCATGAAATAGTAGCTAACAGACTACGGTGTCAGATACAGCTATGTTTCATTAAATCACCAAATTGAGCTGATTTAAACTGACAGAGCAAATATAATTTAAATACATTAACAATTCATTACTCAAATAAAAGGCCACTGGCCTTAGGCTAGTTTCATAACAGAGCTGTGGCTCTCAGTTTGTGCTGGAAAGATGGCATGTGTTAGCATATTATGCAAATAATTAATGAAAAAATTCATGTTGGCCTGTTTGTAGAGAGGAATTGGAGATGACACTGGCAGCAAGTTATTCCATCAGTACATTACATGAGCTGATGCAAATTTAAAACATATGGAAATATTTATTAATTTGTGAATAAATTCGTATGAACATTTGGACAAGATTCGCCGAAAACTACACTGGCAACATCATAGATGTTTGCATTTAATTTAATTAGCTAATTTATTTTTATAGTGGAGGCTGGCAGAAAGCTGGCCTATAGAAAAAAGACACACCTTTCACTTTTAACAATGTAAATGTCAATCTATATAAGATAAAGACACTTTCTTGATGATCGACTATCGGCTACTCCTTGCAAACTGATTCCACATAACATTTCTTCAGTACTTGGGCAAATAATTGTCGTGCTGCCATGCTTAACATAAAGAGCAAGGATAAAATTACTTTCTGTCTCTTAACCATTGATCTGCAGACCTTTCGTGCACATGAACTGTGTGCTCACTCACTGTGCCTACATTAAAAAGCCTTTTGCAAATGGAAGGCATCAGTGAGGAGAATAGTAGCATAGCACCATGTTATAGTGATAAATGATCCTTTGAGCATTGGGAAAGATTTTAAAAATTGTTTCATGCACAATCTATCTTAAAGATTTTAATCTAGCTTTACATGACCAGTTTTATGCCATTAATCAAATGGAAATATATTGATGGTGAGAATACGGTGGTTATTCGGATGAGCAAGGCTAGAAGAAACATTAGTTCACTCTTCAGATAACTTTTCAAATCTATATACAGTACATGCATTTATTTAAGAAAAAGAAGGAATTTCCATAAGAGGACAATAGGAATTTATAGAAAAGCATTATGGTTCTGGTGGATTGAAATTCTTCCTTTAAGCTTATTGTTATTTTGTTAGATGCTAATGCTGATACTGTACCTCTTGTGGTTATTTTCAGTTTCTAAACCCGAAGGCTTTATTAATCATCTCATCATCTCATCAGACAGAGGAAGTGTTAATTCATTAGTTTGGCTCCCAGCACAAATTTTCTATTAATTAGAATAGTTTTCATAACCATGTGTCTTATATTCAACAATATATGACATAGTACTGACAATTCATTAGAGAAATTAGACAACTGACCATGATTGTAACACTGCTGATTAGCTGCCAGGCCAGTCCAACGACGAATAAAAAAAGTACACAGAGAAGAAATCACAATTTATGTACAGCATACTGTTGAAAAAAAAAAGATTTTAATATATATGTTATTATTTGAAATGTATATATATATTGCCATTTTCTTTAACCCTGACGTATATATCGAGTTAAATATTGAGTTATGTTCCGCTTTAATACATTTAATATTTTTTTAAATAATATTTTTAATATGTATATTGTAATTTAAAATTTTTGGGAAAGTCATTGAAAAGTCAGAACCTGTTTTGGTCAAAAGCAGTGAATCCTGAAGTAAATAACTCTGTGTGAGAGCAGCATATGTTTGTTACATTCAAATATAACACACACACACTCATAATCTCCATCATCCAAGCCTTTAAAGCTATAATATCTGTTATTCAGTATCTATCAAAAAAGATCACAGAAGGGAAGGTTGAACAAGGCGAAGATAATCAGGGGGTGACACCAAATGCTTCCTGTGATCTGAAATCTGGAAGTGACATAAGATGCAAAAATGATTGAGAGGAAACAAAAGCAAGCAAGATGTGCTTTTGGGTGGAGTGAGTGATGTGATGATTATAACCATCCAGCTTGGACTGAAACACAGACACATCTCTTCATAGTTAGCCAGCTGGAGCGCCTCATGAGAACTCAAATGCTTTAGGGTCCTGCGAAAAAAAACAGACATATTCTCGTTCAAACTGTGTGATCTGGGTACACTGGGGGAAAAAATCACCAAATTAAAAACTTAAAGGAATGGTTCACTCAAAAATTAAAATGTGCTCACTCTCTCTCAGGCCTTCTAAGATGTAGACAAATTAGTTTCTTAATCAGAACACATTTGTGAATAATAAAAACATCACAATAATCCACACGGCTCCATGTACATCGATTCATATCTAGTAAAGTGAAAAGCTGTGTGTTTGTAAGAAAGTTATTATGGATTATGAACACGTTTTTAGGCTGGCTGCTATGGTTTGAAGTTAAAAACATCTTGATGACAGTTAGTTTTTTACAAACACAGAGCTTTTTTCTTCACAAGATGTTAACTTGGAGTCGTGTGGATTAGCCTACTTGTGGATTAGTGTGATGTTTTTATCAGCTAGTTTTATAGAATCAAGTAACTAACTAAAACCAAAATTTCTAGAAAAATGAACACTTGAACATACATTAGTGTAATATGAAATACGTAAAATGACAAACCATCTTTGGGAAAAATTCATTTGAAGTGTAGTTAGATTTTGTTTTATTTACACGAAGAAGGCGGGGTTTAAAATTTCTAGAAAAATGAACACTTGAACATACATTAGTGTAATATGAAATACATAAAATGACATAAACCATCTTTGGGAAAAATTAATTTGAAGTGTAGTTAGATTTTGTTTTATTTACATGAAGAAGGCGGGGTTTATGACCTATAATGCGATTTAAATTAGTCCTTTCTCTTTGGAGTGTTACAAGCTCTTGGTGCATAAAGAAGATCTGTAAAGTTGCAAAGGCTAAAGTCTCAAATCCAAAGAGATATTCTTTATAAAATTTAAGAGTCAGCCACACCTACCTAAAATGGCTCATTCTAACACACCCCCACATATCTACATCACTTTGTGGGAAGATTTGCATAACGTTGCCCAAATGTTCACGCAAAGAAAGAAGGCGTAACTTTTATTCTCGCTGTAGTATTGTTGTTGCCGCCGCCGTGTCGTGAAGGCACTGTGTGATTCGTTGTGAAAGCGAAACTACTTTGTTTGGCCTTCCAAAAGAGGACGATATCTGCTACGTCATGCCTGGAGCTGATCCGTGCTGGTTGCTGAGGAAATACAACAACTTTGCGCTGTGGATCGGCGGATCGGCTTTCACCGTGGACGAAGCTGAGTCCAGCCCAGGGTCATCACATGTGGTTGCCGCAAGCCCTCCGGACGCTCCTTCGTCGAATCCACCGCCTCTGCTCACTCTAGCCCTCCGGCCGTTCCTCACTTTATCCCCCGGCCTCTGCTCACTCAAGGCCTCCGTGTGTGATGCTGTGTTTCGTTGTGAAAGCGAAACTACTTTGTTTGGCCTTCCAAAAATCGACACGACTCGAAATCAGTGGTTAAGTTGTATTTACAACACTGTTCAAGAACACTTCAACCCAAATATTTAGATGTGTGCAGTACATTTTATGGAGGATCGTTTCCTGATCCTGGGAGAGTAGACTACAATGCCGGCTGTTCTGACTCAAAGACTGTAAGTACATCTTTTATATTTAAAGAGTTTTTATATTTTATATATTTAAAGTTAGTTATTTTAATTGTGATGATTTTGGCTCACATTTGACAAAAACCCACCAATTCACTATCTCAACAAATTAGAATACTTATAAGTAAATAGTTTTTTAAAAACATTTTTAGTAAATTGTTGGCCTTCTGGAAAGT